GAGAGAGAGAGAGAGAGAGAGAGAGAGAGAGAGAGAGAGAGAGAGAGAGAGAGAATGACATCACAGTGCCCTTGCATGTTTTGTTGTGCTTAGATTCCCTCCAGTGTCGTTTTTCTAGTTGATTGTAATCTTACTGTACTTGACTGTTTACAGGTGGAGCAAAGCCCTGCTGAGCAGACATGGCGGCAGCCTTGGCAGGCCCTGCCTGCTTTGCGTCATGCACAAGCAGGCAGAGTGGAGGGGTATCGCCAGGAGAGTCGGTGTGCAGTGCACAGACGAGTGCTCTGCGAAGCACTATGTATGGCCCAGTGTTTCATCTTCCACAACCATTGACGCGTGCACGTGCACGCGCCTCAGCATGTGGAAGGGCTGCGTCGACAACGATGGCAGTTGAAACGTCACCCTCAGCCCAGCAGTCGCCTGTATGGAATGCGTCAGCCAAGATTGCAAGCGGACTCGGTGCTCTTGCACTCTCTTTAGCCCTGCAGTTTGCCCCACCACTCTCTGGCCCGGCGGTAGCCACCGAGTACGACGTTCTGAGTGACCCGCCCCCCGCGTCTTATTATTATGATGATGCGAATGTGCTGAACCGAGTGACGAGGGGACAGCTCCAGAATGATTTGGCAGAGCTTGAAAAGGAGACAGGTTACAGAGTCAATGTTGTGACACTCCGCAAGGTGACCTCCAAGGCTGATGCATTCGAGTTTTCTGATGAACTCCTAGAGAAATGGTACCCCACAGTAGAGGAAGGGACCAACAAGGGTATCGTGGTGCTTGTCACTACTCAGAAGGAAGGAGCAGTCGCAGGTGGTCCGTCGTTTATCCAGTCTGTGGGTGACGACATCCTTGATAGTGTCTGCACAGTGAATCTTCCAGTGTTTGCAACAGAGGAAAAGTACAACGAGGCAATTACTAGCTCAGTAAAGCGGCTGGCCGCCGCCATCAGGAAACTTCCGGACCCAGGTGCGCCAGCAGTTGCTGACACAAAGAGAGTGTCCAATTTCAAGTCAAAAGACGAGACAGCTTCGAAGCGAGGGAAGTTCACGACAGCTGTTGGCGGGTTGCTCGTCATTGCATTTGTAGTGCCTATGATTCAGTTTTATGCGTATGTGGCGAAGAAATAAAAATTATTGGCTCTGCAGTCCAGTGCTCCACAGGCCCACGCAATTGTGCCCCTCCCTCTCGTTAGTTGAATGGCTGTGCCACTCTGTCCATTATTCAGTATTGTGTACTATTGTGTATACGTTGCATGTCAATGAGAATTCTTTGCTCTGCAAGCTGATGCTTCTTTGCCTACTCCGCTTGCCCCTCTCTCTTCGCAGCTCGAGACCTCGGCTATGTGCTTTGCTACGTCCTCTGCGGTTGGTGGCTTGTCTCTGTACTGTGCCTAGCGCTTAGGAAGGAAAGTGATGGTGCCTCAGGGTTGATGATGTCCTAGTCTGTTTTCATCACACTAGTCAGCAACGTCGGCGGTTTCGTTTCTTACAATTTTGTTTTTGATCTGGCATGTCTGTACACTGGTTGGTGGCTGCGTAGACGTCTGTGTTGGGTGTGTGCGACTGGTTACACCGGGTCGCAGGGAAAAACGAGTACCCGTGCTGGTGGGGACATGAAGTATTCATCTTTGGGCTTAACATTCACCCCAGTCCACTTAGCTGTTTGGTTGAGTGTTGGCCTCCTGATTGGAAGGTTGTGCTTTCAATCCTTGTGGTTCACTTATGGTTGGTCTGTGTTCTCATTTTTGTTTCTCAATTTTCCCTTGCTTTTTTTTTTTTTTTTTTTTTTTTTCTTTTGCAAATTCTGCCGTACTAATGGTGTGACCATGCAAGGCAGGATTTCATGCCCGTTTCCCTTTCTGAAAGGGGAAGAAAACAAAGGATCTCATGCCTTTGGTGTGGAGCTGGATATGGTTGCCCTGGTCGGGTTTGTGCGGGGCATGACTCTTGCTGCCTCCTTGCGTGTGTTCCCTTTGGATGGGAGTGGCCTCTATGTGGAGAGATCAACATGGGTTGGGCTATGGGTTGCTCTGGATTTCGTTGAGGTGCAAAGAAGGGGGGATTTTTGTTTTCTTTGGGATCTCCAGTCTATTGGTGAGTACCTGCCCCTGCTGGAAAACGGGTCCAGCGTCCCCTAAGATATAATGTTGAGATGATAACTCCGCATATGCAGGGAATCGAGCCCATTGTCCCTCATGATGCTGTTGATGAACATGATGATGAAGATAGTAATGGTACTGGACTACTGATGATGAAGATGTGAAGCTATTTTATAGAAGAAATTATGGACTACATCAGCAAAACCTGTCCTCACCATCCCTAAACAACTCCTAGCCTCCCCTGACTCTGTGAACTATGCAAAGGACTGTTGACTGGAGAAACATATTGGGCACGACATCATTCTTTCCCTTGATTGCCCTGGAGATGACTAACAGAGCACCCTCCCTTCGCTGAAGTTTGTGAAGGGCCTGAAGGATCCACCCGTGTGTGTGAAATGACCTTGTTTGTTCCATGTGAAAGATTTAAAGAACACTGGGCCTCGCTCCACTACTCTCCACATGCAGAAAATACAAAACATATCGCGGTGTATCTTTCCATGTTCTAGCTGAGGATTCGGTCTCATTTTCCACATTTGGAGAGTGGTGGAGCGAGGCCCACTGTTCTGGTAAGTGCAGGACTGGTGGACAAAGGACGTGAAGACGAACAAGCTCGGTTAGCTGTTTCTTGAGGAGGTTGAAGCGCTGTCTCCTTCTCAACCTCATGCGGACAAGTCGTCACTGTATCTGTGGCATTCTGTGCAAAATGGTGTCATGGTCTGCAGCAGCTTAGGTCTTGTTTTGTTTTCAATGTGGGCCTATTGCATTGAGCCTCACTGCTCGACACCATGAGCGCACATACACACATTGAGAGATCACACTAAATCCACACTGGAGTCGAGAGATGTAAAGTCCATATATGCGCAGCTTAAAAATTCCAACAAGTTACCACACTGAACAGTTTCAGAGATCCGGTCACCAAGCGCTCAACAGCGCAGAATACAGCAACCCAATACCAGCATCCTCATCAAAGGCAGGCGACTCTCTTCTCTCCCTCCTCTCTCTTTCCCTCGGTCTTCTCTCTGTCCCTTCTGGTCTTCCTCATGCATGCGCTCTCTCTCTCCCTCTCTCTCTACTTGAGAATCTTGACTCTGAATACATCCGCCGCTGCTCAGCTCTACCTCCTATTACGAGGTATGCGGCTATGGCTGCCTTCCCTCTCAGTGCAGCGCTGCCCAGCAGGGCTCTCACGCCGATGCTACTCGCAGATAGCGCACCAGCGCTTCAGCAGCACTTCCACACTTCTCACGAATGAGCAATCTCCTTGAAATGTGGCTGGCCAGTCCGTATATTGACTTCGACTGAGCTTCAGCTCGTCCCAGCCTCTGCTTCTTCCGGTTTGACTTGGTACTGGTACCACATGCCCATGGCCTGTTTGCTTCAGAATGTCAAGGCCTGGTACTTTCCCGAATTTTCACTGGTGTGCTGCTGCTTGGGGCCATGAGTCACGACTTTCACCTGTGGAACATGACTTTTGACTGTGGGATGTGACTCTTGCCTCCGGGACACAACTTTTGCCTGGGGAAGTGTCCTTTGCCTGTGGGATATGACTTTTCAATATGAGACGTGACATTTGCTTATAGGATGCAATCCTTGCCTCTTGGATGTGACTGTTCACCGGGTGCCTGTTGGACTTGACTCCTAAGGTACCTGACTGTGACTTCTCTGAAACTGACCGACTTGGCCTGAGACCAATCTTGACCCTGGAATTCGAATTTGGGGTCTGCATCGTGGAAGGCCTTTCACTCTCGCCGGCCTAATTTCGAGGTCTTCCGAGAAAGTTACAATCTTTACCTATCAACTATGTCGATTCCTCGCCTAGCTCTCTCATAGTAAGACACTATGTGCGATGCTGTTTCAATTAGCTCATCCTTAGTAAACCAGCGATCTTCAAAAAAGGCTCTTGATAAGCGAATCTGACTTTGTACGGTCGCTGGGGTCTACCCCTGCGTCCGGATCTATCGATATCCTCAGCAACAATGTGGTCGATGTCATACTTGCCATCCATATTGGGAGGAATCATAGATCTGTGAGACGGAAATAGCTCATTGCTCACACAAGGGAGCAACTTAGAGGCATGAAACACCGGGTAAGTGTGCAAATGCGGAAGAATCTCAACAACATAGGAAGGACCATCGACATCACCAATCACATCGAGAATCTGCCACAGTCCCCTACGCAGGCAACAACTTCTGCGAAATGTTCTCTTCTGGGAGAAATTCTTTAGACTTCACCCAGACCGAAGGTCTGCAGTGTTTATTTGCTTTGTTCCTTTTTTTTTTTTTTTTTTTTTT